GTGTGTGACGCTGTTTCGTTGTGAAAGCGAAACTACTTTGTTTGGTCTTCCAAAAGAGGACACGACTAGAAATCAGTGGTTAAGTTGTATTTACAACACTGTTCCAGAAAAGTTCAACTCATATTCCGAAGTGTGCAGCGCATTTTATGGAGGACTGTTTCCTGATCCTGGGAGAGTAGACTACAATGCCGGCTGTTCTGACTCACAGACTGTAAGTACTTATTTATTTTTAAAGAATTTGCCACTGACGATTCAAACGAGAGTTTTGAGCAGTGTAGAGTAGCGCTTGTTGTTTGCAGACATGGTTTTATGTTTCCCCGGCATGATGCTATGCAACAAATGCCTCGTTTATAATGGGTTTTAATGTTTTTGTCTTGTCGCTCCGGCCGGGACAAGGCATCAAAATATGGCAAGGGGCGTAACATTTCCGTCACACGCTGGAGGTATTCGGCCAATCACAACGCACTGGATAGCTGGCCAATCAGAGCACACCTCGCTTTTCAGACCGATGAGCTTTATAAAAATCGACGCGTTTCAGAAAGGCGGGGCATAGAGGAGAAACAATAATGTACAGTATGTGGAAAATAATGTGTTTTTTGAACCTTAAACCGCATAAACACATTTCATTAAACCAAATACACAAAATAATGTTCTTTTTAGCAGCATCATACCTTTAGCAGGAACGTGAATAAATGAGACCGTCAAGAGTAGGACATTCTTGAAGACAGACAGTATTAAAAACTCAAAGCCGCGAAACGGAACTTAATCCGCTCCTGACTGCATGTTTTCTGCGAGCGAGGTCTGAGTGGAACACGGAGAAGCATAGACTGGCGCGCCTAAAACGGACAAAACACGGAGTGTCAAAATGCCTGCACTGGTGTGTATTCACATAAATACGGTCGACATGCACTGTGCATGTCTTCATGCACATTCTTCACTCACTCAGTCTCTCGCTCACACACACATAGCGAGAGAGAACTCTGAAGAGAATTCATCCCCTGTAAATCAACCTCACAGAAAAAAGCCCAACGGTTAGTTGCATATATTTGTGTATTTTAGTTTAGTTTCCATGGTCCTAATAAAGTTACTATTATTAAAACTTTATTGAAAAAAAAAAAATAATAATAAAATAATTATATACTGTATGTTGAGTATGCTGAAATAAAATGTTTAAGGTTTTCAAATATATTTTAAATAATTTCAGGTAAAAGTTTATTTTATTTCAAGTAACAAAAAAAATTGTTTTTTATGGTTTTAGTTTGTTTTAGTTAACTACAATAACCCTTGTCTACACCGTAATATAAAGCAACAAACACCCCATTACAACCAATCGAAGCCGTATGCAAAACAACACCACTCGCTAACTAGAGTCTTTCAGTTTT